TTATGAGCAGACTGGAGCACAGTGCATTCACCTCTGGCTGTGGGCAAGTAGGAGCCTCTGATAGTGTCCTATCTCTTGCTGGAGTGGAGGTGACAGGTGGAGGCACATCTCTACCATCCAAAAGTCTCTTATCTGTGATGACACAGACTCTTTTGTCAACATCTCCTTCATGCTGGATGAAATATCATTTGGTTGAGGCCAGGGGGAGCAACCTTCCTCTTTCAGATCTGTTTTCCAGCTAGTAGGGGCTGCTTTCAGGTATTGAACAGGCAGCCAAGACCTCTTACTGCTCTTTGCTGACACCATCACTCAGCATCCTCCTGCAGCATAGCTGGGGGGAGTGGGGGGCCCTCTGGCTATTTTCCAGCCACCAACAGCTACATGTTCGTCTCCAGAGAAATGACTCTGATCCCAGGAAGATGGCCCAATACAATGGCATTTGGAAAGACCTGCAGCAAAGCAGCAGAACTGGGAAGAAGGCATAATTGCTGGGATAAGAATGGTGGAAAAGAGTACAGGAAGGAAAATGGCAATGAGAGATGTGGTTTGCAATGGGAGAGAAGTGTGAGTGATGGAAAAGGAATGAAAGAAAAAACTCTGAGAGGAGCAGTTCAAACACTTTGTAGATAATACAGGATACTTGAGCCAGGATTTCAATTTTTTGGTTTCTTTTTATATTCCAGTTCTGATCTGAGTTACTGCAGAAGAATTGTTTTATTGTTTTGTGCCTGACTTTCCCCATTTATGAACCAGATAATGGCCATTAGCAAACCTATAGCAGGTGAGGGCATCTTCAGATCCAGCCCTGGAAGTGTTGACACTTGAGCATTATTGATAGACATGTGGAGACAGGCTGTCTCTGTGAATACTTCTGCAAAAATCTTCTTGAGTTTCTTTAAATTTGGCAGCTCCTAGAGCACATGCACCAAACCTGAAGCACCTTCACAAGGTCTGACACTGGTACTTATGCCCTTAACTGTTCTGCCAGCTCATGACAGGTTTTGCAGTGTCTGGTGTCATGAGGGGAAGGAGCAGCAGAGCTCCAAGCACAGCTTTAAGGACCAGTCACACATAAGATTTGTCTGCAGTTCCAAAACTGCAAGTAAAGTTTCTGTCTGACCCAGTCCTGGAAGCCTGGGCAGACCTGTGTGACCTTAGACAGGTCAATTATTCCCTCTATTTTTCACCTCTGCATTTAAAAAATGAAATATGAAGATACTTTGCAGAAGAGTGATGAAAGTAAGTAAGGTAAAGACTAGGATGTGATGAGGTGTATTGAGAATCCATGGAAGTGCTCAGATGAAAGTTCTCCGTGAAGGTGGATGCTGTTATCTGCTGTTATCTTCACTCAGAGACTTGAAGTGATTTCAATAAATTGTGTGAGATGTGCTGCTTCTCATTTCAGTAGGTCTTAGGCAAGACAACAGAAGAAAGTAATGCAGTGTCACAATGCTGATAGCAAGCGAGTCACAGATGCTGATATCAAGAGACTTATTTAGTCCATTTTGATATTTTTTGTCCTGCTTTTCTCATCTCATCAAGCAAGCGTTGCTGGACTCTCTCTGAGATCCTTCCTTAGGATCCACAGCCCAAGCTTGAAGCTTCTCAAAGGGCTGCCCATTTTGAAGATCTTCACTGTGTCTTCAGCTTTGTTCACATGTCTTTTCAGAACCTGAGTAAGTGATGATGTTTTCAGATAGAAGTATGACAGACACAGTGGTGACTGTTGTATTTGAGGTAGGCTGCTGCTTGTGCTTCACTGGCCTGTGTGTGCAGCAGACACGTGGAGCTGGTGGTACACAGTAGGGAGCCAGGAATGTTCAATAGTCTGGTGTTCAGTTACTTGAAAGTTTCACATCTTCTGTGTGGATGCTAAATGCAAGCAGCAGGCAGGGAGCACAGTATCTGTGGAAAAGCAAGTCACATAACTTTCTCAGACTAGCCTGGGAAATCATAAGGAGGAATCAAAATAATCCTCAGAAATAGAAGACAGCCTTGCAGGTGTTTTTTGTCAATTTCTTGTTTTCTTGCAAGAGAAGGTCGAGGGGTGGTGTACCCCACTGACCAATGATAGCAATGTGTTAGTTCACTGACCAATAAGGGTTTTACCTTTCTGGACTTTCATGTACTTGTCTATAAAAGAAGATCTGGGGTAATAAATCTTGCTCTCCTGCTCAACTCACAAGAGAGTCCGTGTTGTTACTACCTCAGTGTTCCCAGTACAGTGTGACACTTCTGAACCATGGCAGTATTTGGTCTTTATTTTCTCCCCACTTTGCTGTCCCAGAACTGTCCTGGCCAGTAACTTATGCCAGTCTGAGTCACACAACAGCTGGAACAAGCTTCTCTCTGCTTTAGTTTTTGGAAATGTTTGTGCTTTGAAAGGGTAGGGCCCATGCAGAGGACACTTAATTTTCTCCAATTTACATAATTTTGCTGCTCAGATGTTTGGTTGTTTCTTGGGGTGTGTATGTCTCCAAACTTCCAGAACTCTGTTGAAACAGCTATTCATGACTGGTGATGGAAATTTGTGTTTATGTGTAGTGGAATGACACAAAGAAATAAAGAGTTCTTTCTTCATGACCATGTTTCCCCCCACCTCCCCCCTTTAAATCAGAAAAAGTTGATGATTCAGAATGAAACTGATCCAGAATCCTGTTCTTGTACCAGGATGACCCCATATCCATGGTGGAAAAAGAGTTCTGATCTGTGCAAAGGGTGTCTGTAGGCACTAGAGACAGAAACTTTTTCCCATGGCAATATACCTTAGTGCACTTCCTGTGGGTTAGCTGACTTTCACCAAGTTGGGAAGCATCCATAGAGCGCCGTGAGTGGAAGTGACATATTTACCTCGCCTTGTCTCCTTTCATCCCATTTTAGACCTCAAACTGTCTAACAGCATTAGGAGGCCCCACAGGATGAGAACTTGAAGTCAGTACTGCTGGATTTACTGAATTTCTGTGCTATCTCTTGACAATGACATTAACTGAATACATCAGGAATGGGGTGAATTTTTAGGGATATGGGAAACAGGAAAATCTTAGAAAGGAAACTTGGGAAACCAAATCTGCCTGCTATGTTTATCATGCAACTAGTTAAGGAGCTGGCTCACATAGTTGTCTCTGAAAACCAGAAGAATTAAATGAGAAACAGAGGACAGAGGAAAATATGTTGTATTGATCTTTACAAATGAGCAGGAGTCATTAAGAGTTAGTAACTATCTAATAAATTTGGCTTCCGTGTCTAGTGAAGGAGTATAAATAAGGGAGGAAGAAGAATTTGCTGTGCCATGCATTCACATGGAGCCATATGTATATTAGCTTACCCTCAGGAGAGTTGCCAAAATGGAATGTAAATGATGGAAAAAGGAAGGGGTGAATTTTGTTGTCATGGAATACTGGAGAAAAGACTAAACAAAGTAAATCTGTAAGCAGTTAAAACAAACCTCATCCCCGGTGAAGAAGAGTTTATTGAATTTTCTGTGTGACTCAGAGCACACTTTAGTTATTAGTTTGATTCCTTTAGTGGCATGTAGGAAGTATGCAGCCCCTCTACACATGCTGACTTCACCTTTGAAAAGGAACATGGATGACACACACATAGATTTGTAGGAAGGAAATCCAGACAAAACTTAATCACTTAGTTTGATCCAACTGCAGGCCAAGTAGATGAAAAAAATATGGTCATTTAATCTGTGTAAATAAGATGTTTATTCATGTACTGAGGAAATTATTATATTGTTTCATGAAGACTGAGCTGAAAATTTAATTTAAATTGACTGGAGATGAGGATTATAAAGCAGACTGAAAACAGGCTGGAGGCACCAGAAACACATAGTGATGAATAAATGCCAAGACTTGGTGGAAGATACCTCAGGGGAACAGAAGGGAACAATGTTAGACTGTTTTTGTTTAAGATCTTTATTAATGGTTTGGAAGGAGGGTTGTCTATGGTAGGTCATTGTGAGATGGTGCTCATCTTGGGAGGGATCACGCTTTCTGAAGCACTAGTACTAATAGCTTTTGATCTGGAAAACTTTGAATTAATCAAAATCACAGCAAATGGTACCAAAAACATTTCAGTCTGGGCACCTTACCCAGAGTCCCTGTGAATGTACCTGTCTGTAGATGCTTTCTACAGAAATCTCAGTCCATGTGGTTCATCATTTAGAGCAAACAAATTCTCTTAGTTTCCATTGGGGTTCAGCCTCTCACACTGATTTATCTAATGTTTGTCTGACTTTGCCTGCATTGGATTCTTCATACCAGAGCCTCCTGGCTGACCCCATGGACATGCTGTTTTGCTGTCCTGGTATTTGAACACATATTGTGATTCTAGCAAGAATTTTGATACTACTAAATATTTCAGCCAGAGGGCTGGTGAAGCAATAGGGACATCTAGGATCTCTGTTTCCTTACTAAATTTACTGTTCTCCAGCCTGATTCCAGAGGCCTGGAATTGCTTAGTGAAGGCTGAACTTCAGGACTGTCCTTTGGGGAATATCACCAGTGCTTTGAGATGGAGATTCAGTCCCTGGAGTCACCAGGTCACTGTTACCCCTGATTGTGGGTTGATTGTTGAGCTGAGGGGAGGAGGACATGGTGCTGGCTGAGAAAAGAGATGGGCAATGCAGCTGGCCTTGATGTGCACATCTGGACAAAGGAACTGGACAGCTAACCCTGTTCCATATCTGGAAAGAAGTGCAGGGAGGGAGTGCAGAGCAAATTTTCCTTCATTTTGCAATTCATTGGCTGGCACTGTCCAGCACTAGCTGTAAGGTTCAGTTTTTATTCATTCATAAGACACTATCTGTGCTGCCCCAGAAGTCCTACACCCCTGTTTGTGTCTTCTGCAAGGCTCAGGAAGAAATGTGGTGAGGTTGTCTTGCTGGACCAGCTCTGCAGGGCTGGTTTATATTCCAGTTCCATGCTTTGAACTCCCTGGGGCAGGAGAAGTCATAATGGGTTTCATTTACAGAGAAGGGCTGCTCAGGCAGGGGGTATAGCTCAGTGGCAGAGCATTTGACTGCAGATCAAGAGGTCCCTGGTTCAACTCCAGGTGCCCCCTGAGGTGCTGCTTTTTTTTGGTCAGATATTAGAAAAACAATTCTTTATTGTGAGGGTGGTGAGGAACTGGAACAGGTTCTCCAGAGAAGCTGTGGCTGCCCCATCTCTGGAAGTGTTCAAGGCCAAGCTGGATGGGACTGGAAGCAGCCTGGGATAGTGGAAGGTGTCCCTGCCCATGGCAGGGGGTTGGAATGAGAGGATCTTTAGGGTCTTTTCCAACCCAGACAATTCTATGATTTTTGGGGTTCTAAGGAAACATACACAGTGCTTAGACACTGAGTAGCAGGATTCAGATTATGAAGGAAATTAAAACATGAGCAACCAAAGTGAAAAGTCACAGCCAAAAAACAAGTGAAGATGGAGAGAAGGAGTGAGTGTTAACCATAGGAGTACATTTATTTCAGCCCCTGCAACAATCTCCATTTTCTCTGCATAGTCTTCTGGTTTGGGTACAGATACCACAAACTGTGGCAATCTTAGGGTCACAAATGCCAAATTTTCTCTCTTTTGCTCCAGTGCTTGGCTGAAGGAAACATTCCTCACATATTCCTGTGCTTAAGTGAACACTGGTTTGGGTCTTGAGTGGGAGGGATGACTAAGAACTAAGAATTAATTGCTTGATTCATTCTCTGATTATTCTATACAGGTATTAGAAAGGTGTTATTATCTGCTGAAAGATCATTATTTTAATTGTGCTTTGATGAGAACTGAAAACAAGGGAATCAGTTACTCAGTGTGATCCATTAGTAGTGAGTGCATTAAAGGCAAATGCAGAATCCTATGGAATTTTTCCCAAAGATGACGTTTATTAGGTTGTAAAATAACCTCCCACAGAAGCATTTGAAGCCCTGTCACTTAACAGATAAATTACTGAGGCCAAGAGGTCATAAGACCTCCCTAAATTAATTGCTGTTTGAACTGGAATGGAACTTAAAAAAAGTTGGTTTGAAGATTCCCAGTGACTATAAGTATCCCAAAACCCTTGCAAAATTGCCAAAGAAATCAGATTTATATCTGCTCTGAATGTCTAGATTTAACTTCTACCTACTGGCCACTGTGAGATCTTTTAAGATTGAAGAAACTTTGTTAGGTAATTCCAGTTCTCTCTTTGAACACTTATAATATGTGATTAAGAAACCTCTCATCCTTTTCTTTGTAAAATTAAAGAGGTAAATCTTCTCATGTCTTTCTTCAGAATGAGGTTTCCCAATTCTTTATTCATTCTTGTGTCCTTTCCCTCAATTATTTTTAGTTCTTCAGTATCTGCAGTCTCTAGAAGAGGCTCTGAATACCAGCAGCAGTTGCACCAATGCCAGGCTGGGTTGTTATAAAATTTCTTTGCTTCTTCTACTTGGTATTAATCTCTAGTATGCATTATGCTGCTGAAGATGTCTGTGTTACACCACTTAGATTCCATCACTTTCTAGGCTTTTCCCAGTTTTCTCTGGCCTCCTTTCTCATGCCTGAGAAGCAAGTTCTCCACTGTTTAATCTTACATTCAGGACTTTACTGAAATTCATACTGTTGGCTTGTGTGCAGTTTACTGAATTCCTCTTGGGATTGTTTTGCTTCATTGTCCTCTCTATTCCCTGCTGCTTCCCAAAATTCCATGAACTTACTAAACAATAGTTTAACCTTTTCTTCTGTATCAGCAATAAAAACATTAAATAGCAACTGGTAAACCAACATCTATAGGGGGCTGAAACTTCCCTTGCTGAGTGAACATTTGCCATTTACTATTTAATTTGGAAAGCTATCAGCTGGTCTCCAATTAATCTACACTGTACTGTGTTTATTTTAAACCAGCCAAGTATATTACTCAATTTGTTGAGCCCTGTCACAGACTTTCTGTGACTTTGCCCGTGATTGATGTGCTGCAGACAAGCCCATGATGGTAGGCCTAATTACCCCTTTTTAATGTGTGTGGTGAATGGAGAGCATCCACTTGCTTACCTCCTCCTGAAATCTTCCTCAAGTTTCAGGAAAGCATTGCATTGCAGTGAGTTGGACACATGCGTAACAAACAGCTACTGCATTTAATTTTTAATACTATTCTAAATGTGTCTGTTGGTTTTTATTATTGTATCATGCTCCCCTCTGAGTAGCTGTTTGCATACACAATCTCTTGGGTATGTGCTTCTTGGGAAAAGAGACAGGAGCAATCTTTGGGAAGATCACCTGACCTGGTCTGAACCCAACTATGTTATTTTCCATTCTTTTCCTGCACCCATCAAATGAGCATGGGAACATCTTCTGGTAGTGCATTAGGCAAAATAATCATGCATCTTTCAACTATTGTTTTTATAACTTCTCCTCTGGGGAAGTGTTTGAAGTGCAGCATATTATTTTCTTACACCAATTTGACTTTTGTGAAATGTGTATCCTCTTACATATTTTAGAATCACAGCATCATTAAGTTTGGAAAAGACCTTTCAGATCATTAAGTCCAGCCATTAACCCAGCACTGCCAAGCCCACCACAAAACCATGTCCCTCAAAGCCACATCTACACATCCTCTAAATATCTCCAGGGATGGAGACTCCACCGCTGCCCTGGGCAGACAATTCCAGTGCTTGACAACCCTGTCAGTGAAGACATTTTTCCTTATAGTCAGTCTAAACCTCCACTGGTGCATCTTGAACCCATTTCCTCCTGTTCTATCACTTATTACCTGGGAGAAGAGACTTATCCCCAGCCTGTAACAACCTCCTTGCAAGAACCTCTGCCTTTTCCTCACTCTTTGTCATTATGTTCTCCTCTGCTTCCAGTACAGGATGGAGATTCTCCATCCTTCTTTGGTTTGTAATATATTTATAGAAACATTTTTTATCATTCTTTACAATGCTTTTATTTCACATAACAGATGAAAGAGAATTGAGCCGTGCACCTTTAGTGAAAGAGAATGGGATTTGAAGTCTGCAGTTCCTAAAGGAATGTGTTCCACCATTTTGATGAGACCATTTTTTCTTTTCCCATTGATCCAGAGGATCATAGTGGCTAACCATTGTCTTCTTCTGGCCCTTGACTATTCTTGGAGATGTCCTAAGAGCAGACAGCAAAGATATGGGCACAGAATTCCTGAGTTCTTCAGGAAGCTGAAATAGACAGTGGAGGAAATTTGCTGTGACGTGATGTTCTCAGATGAGTTTCTTGTATTAAATATCTCTGTACCCATACCTGTCCCATAGTTATATCCACCTCTCCAGCCTGACATGACAGACATTACTCAAAAGTAGCAGAGAGTGGGAGCTTAGCATCAGCATTCCCTGTCAGCTCTGCTGCTGCCTGTTGGAAGGAAACCTTCCTTCTCTGAAGCGCTGGGGATTTCAGGTTGAAATGTTACAGTGGCATAAAGTAGGAATGGGGAATATTTGATTCAGGACTCTTAGCTCAGAGTCTGGAACATGCTGGAAAAGCTGAGTTCTGGGTATGCAGATGGGCCAAAGATTAATGGCAAAAACCCAAGAAGAGCTGCATTATAAATATAGAGATTTGTGTTATTTATCACAGAATATGACTGTGCTTCTTTGCAATGGCCAGTTTTGATACTCACTGGAGTTACTAAGGAGGGTTTGCCATCTTGTAACAAGCTGGGGCAAAATTTAGAGGCTTCAGGAAGGTCAGACAGGTTTTATTTTATTTGTCCTGGTGTGGTTTTTTTCTTTTTTTTTCTTTTTCATTTCTGACAGCTTGCTTACATCGTAAGCCCCTTGCTCAAATTCATCACCTTCCTGATGGTAAAAATGCAACTCTGAGATATGGAAACCAATTAAAAGTAAAACATGACGTGATTATAGGCATCCAACTAAACTCCATAAGATCAGCAATTCCCAAAGTTTCCTATTTTTTAAACCATTTTTGAGACCACAGTACAGTTTTCCTTTGCACATCCAGGTCTAAGATTATTTCCAGCTCAGGACTTGGGATACATCTTGGTTTAGGAACCCCTGTTCCTGTCCTGTGGGGAATAAACACTGTTCTTGCTGAGCCCCTTGGGTCACAGTCTGCAATTTCATGGGATTCTCCGTTTCTCTGTGCTCTATAACCTCTATTAAAAATGGGAAAGCATCAGCAGTGCAATGCAAGAGAGAGGAAGGATTTAATCACTCCTCTGTCTATTCCTACCTTTTCAGTTTTCAAGGACAGGATCCTTGATCTCCTGTTTTCTTCTATAGCACATGTGACACACTCATGGCTAAGTATTTACTGGATGGATTTGGATTTGGGAACAGATCTTTGGAATCAAGAAAATGGAGAATTTTTCAGGTTCCCCAGTGAGTTTTGCACCTTGATTTAAATAATTGTTCATTGAAAATTTATGTCACTTTCATCAACTTAGTGCAGCAAAGATGATGTTGGTATATGCTGTACAAACTGATTGAAAATCCATCCTGCTATTAATAAATGGTGTCTGCAAACACTGGCATTTTACTGTTATTAAAAATTTGCCTGCTTTTGGCTGTGCTGTGGAAAAATAATGCCTGCTGGAGTGTTTCTGCCTCTGCCTGTCTTCTGATTGTGACCTGACATGAACTTGTTTATGTAATGCTCCCTAGCAGCAGTGCTGCTGCTGGAGACAGGGCTGTTCCTGTGAGCAGAGGTAGCTCCATACCCGGTTTTAAAGGTTTTCTGAGCTATTCAATTTAACAAATGCCATGCCGGGAAGGAGAAGGTTTCTCCCTGGTCGTATCACTGGCTCTGGAAGCCAGAAATGTTTTATCTCCAACTCCTGTGACAGGTGAGCTTGCTGAGAAGGGCTGTGTTTGTTCATCTTGTTCTCAGTTGCCAAAGACTCCTCATTTTCTTGTGTTTCAGTTTCTCCTCTCTAGCAGATAAGGGTGATAATATTGCAGTGACTCCTGTTTGATAGGTGTCACCATGTGGATTGAGAAGATGTGATGCCTTAGCTCAGGATGGTGGAGTTTCAATCAGTTGCCTTCACAGGAACATTGCTACAGCAGTGCAAGGCTCTGCAGCTGATGTTTCACGGCTTTGGTGACATCATCTCTGCAGGAGTCAGTCTCAGTGTGACAAAATAAACAACAATATTTAGTTTCAGGCCAGGAATTTTCTTCATCATTTATGATGTTTGTGGAAGTCATGATTTCTTCCATGGTGCACAAATCTAACAAGTACAAGGAGTAGACACCCTCCAGATGTGCTTTCAGGCCTAAATCCAGGTCTAGAAATCCATAGCATGCTTCATTCAAGAACAACAGAAGGAGGGACTGAATATCACTTTATTTCTTTGAGCTGCCTCCATATTTCAAGAGCAGAGGCTTTGCAGTATGAAACTGTAATTTAAGGATATTCCTTTGCTGATCTCAAGCACTCAGTTCTTTGAATTTTAAGAATTAAGTGTTCTCGGGGTGGAAGTGATGTGTCTCAGCTGAAGTCTATTTTTAAATAATTTGCTGGTGATCAGCAGTCTATGACCAGACATCTGGCAAGAATCATGTGGCAAGAATCAGATCTGTAAGTCCAGCATACCCCCCTGAGAGGAGCTAAACTGCTCCAGTGGAGTGTGTTCCCTGGGACAGCAATTCTGACTCATTTCCATGCCACAGGCTTAAGCATCCATTCACAGCAGACCTCAGACTGCAGCACCAGGTATTCTGCTTGGTTATTCTCAGATGCTAAAGCTTATTTATAGGTCTTTCCACCCCTCTCTCTTTCCTCATTGTCTTTTGTTCTTAATTTTCTCTCTTCTCCACTGCACTTTCTATTTGGGTAAAATGACACATCTCAGCTTAGAATTTGTGTTCACGTGTACTTGTCTCGGGTTCATGCTCATGACGGCTTAGAAAGCCTGGAGGGATATTCTGTAATTTGTGTCCATTCATGTGTGTTTTCAGTACTTCCCATTAAACAGCAACATACAGAAATGTTGGCAAGAGCAGAGATAACAGAATTGCTGTCCTCACTATTCCATGGAGTACAAAGCAGGCATTACAGGGATAAGGTTGCCTTATTTTTTTCAGGGATATCCAATCACTTCAAAGGCTGTCCCCTTGACTGCCCAGTTTTTCTGTCTCCCTGTGAGCTGCTGCAACTTGGAATTGGGAGTGTTTGGGCAGATGGTGCCAGAGACACCTCAGCTGTCATCCCAGTCAGGGAAGCTCTGAGAAGTGCCATGAAACTCAACTATATCCCTATTTTATATTCCTAGAGAATGCAGAATACAGTATGGTATGGACATGTTTGGTCTGGCTCCACACAGAGTAAGACTCACACCCATGGAACCTCCAAGCTGAAATGCCTCTGGATGGGGCCCCTCAGTTCAACAGACAATGTCCCTGGCATAATTTCACTGGACCAAGCTGGACCAGCATCTCCCTGCCAAGTGCTGTCCTGCAGCATGACTTAGCAAAGCTTGGTTGGGCATCAGCTTGGAGATCTCTCCGTGTTGTGGCACAAACCAAAAAAAAGCTACAGCACAGCATCCAAATTTGTTTTTAATTTGGGAGCATCCTCAAAGGCATCCAGTGTACTTCTGTCCTTTCTTTCCTAGGTGTCTCTTATACCTCTGGCTCTCAAGGCTTAAGGCAAATTTTGCCTTATCAGCAAGTTACCTCATTTTAATAACCTTTTATTTTGAATTTACAGTACATAAGCATGGCTTTGGTTTGCTTCAGATGGCCAGGTCTGTATTCTGCAGCATAAAAACCACTGGTAGAAAGCAGGGAATGGAACTGATTTGTCAGTAATAGCATCTCAAATGCATTTATTTATTTCCTAAGTGTTCTGAGAAATGCTTTCCTTGAAAACCACAAATTGTGACACCTGTGGATTGATGAATGGGTGGTTTTTGCTGAATATAGAAACCAACAACTCTCTATCTAGAGTGATTGGAGGCATGGAGACCTTGCTGACACCTCTGTGACATAGGATCATTTAAGCAGGATAAGGTCATACCAGAAAACTTGCTGGAATCTCAAGCAGGATCTGACAAACCTTGCAAGATCAAAACCATCAGTGTTCTGCATATATTCTCCTTTCCAGCCTCTGGAGCCTACTTCCTCAAAGAGAGGTTAAAGGAAGAAAGGTACTTTAAAGTTCCTCTTTGTAAATGAAATCATAATTGATGGAAAATTAAAGCAATTGATGTAATATAAACCTCCTGGTAACTGGAGAAGGTGCTACAGAGGCTTCCCAGCAGTTATACATCAAGAAACATTCTTAATCTCCTAGATAATGTGGAAAAGGAATGACATTTATTATCTACAAGTCCTCACAAGCTGAGGATGCAGTTTATAAAACTGTATTTGGCTCCCCCTCCTTTTCCTCCTTTATTGTAATCCTTCACTATGGATCATTTTACATCCAAACTCACCTTCATCTGTTATCATACTTCGATGATTTATCGGCATTACAAAGTTCCGATTAATAAGGCTAGAAGGACATCCATCAGAAGAACTAAGAATGTGTGATCATTTCCTCTCAGGCTCTCATTAGCTGTGGCTGTCCTTCTGGGAGTTTTATCTTTGTCTTTCTATTTCCAGACTAAAGCACATGGGGCTTAAAAATAATATCCTATGAATAATCTTTTGTTTCTCTCAGCTTTTAAAACCTTTGGTCAAGATGGAATATGATCTCCATGTTGTCAGCTGAAATAAGGAGAAACAACCCAAAAGGTACAAATGCACTCTTAATGAATGAGCAGGTAAGTCAGAATAATAGATGGCTTGATTCATCCTCCTTCATTCAAGACAGAAACTAAAAAGCTCTACAAATAATCCTATGATCATATAGAATATTTGTGGGGTAGATAGGAATTACACTCAACAGTGCCTCTTCCAAAAGAGCTTCCTTTTTCTTTACATTGTTTTGGTTTAAAATTAAACGAGTGGTGGTGAAACACCCCTCTGGTATTTTCAGGTTGCTGTGCTAAGTGAAGGTGAAAAGGTTTTGTTTTAGAGTTTCTATACTAAGCTCTCTTTTTAATGAGACACTCCTAGGTTAAAAATACCTCCTGAAAGCAACTTCCCACGTCTTTCCTACATTAGTGACAGATTAGAGAAGAAAACCTGGAGTACGCCTGCAAGTGATAAGTTGAGGTTAGAGGTCTAGCCAAAGTCAAGTGCTAGGGAGTTTCAGCTGTAGAGAGCTGATGCTTTGAATTATAATCAAGTGATTAATGTTTCTAATGTAAGTGGGTTTGGGAATTACGAGGACTTGCAGCAACAGCTTGGATAAGAATGGTGAAACCTGCTTTTAGAGTTATTTTATTTATAGCATATTCATTAGGTTGGGCAAAATGAACAACATGTGCTTATGTGGTTAATGATAAATCCATATGAGGACTAAACTAGTCTGCTGAGTTATGAGAAAGCCATTTGTAGGTCAGATTTTTCTGGAGAGAGAGAGAGACTTGAGAGACAATTCCTATCTATTTGGGGGCAGGGGGGAGCAGGGATAGGGGAGAAGAAACCAGCTTTTCTCCTTCTGTAAAATACATAGGATGTAAATATTACAGATCTTTGTTAATTTTTAAAGGTCATTTGCCCCTGAAATTTCTGTAGTTGCCTTCATAAATATCAAAAATAGAATGGGGAGGAGCAGACATGTATGGACAGGTATACAAAAATTTTTTGTAAAATAGCAGATAATCCAATGTTAGCGTATGAAAACTGTGAAAACCAGAAAATAATACATCTCTGAGGCATTACAGTTTTTCTTGTGGGATTCAGACAACCTATGAATGAAATTTCAGAATGAAATGGAAGGTACTGAAGGAAAAAATAAAAGCAAGACTATTCCTTCTGTTTGAATTCACCACACCTTAATCCTGCTGCTGTAAGCAGTTTAAGCTACTCTTTCAAACAGAAATGGTTTATCCAGGTGAGAGTATAGTTAATAAACCCAGTATTTTGGCACATGCTTCATGCTGTGGTTTTAGTTATAGATCTGCCAAAAGGATAAAAAAAAAGATTGGTTCCCCTCCTCTATCCTTAACCAGGGTTGTGCAGGTCTCTCAGCCACAGGTCCCTCTGGTTTCCACCAGAGACCAGGATGCCATTTGGACTGAAAAATAATAAAAAAAAAAAAGTTAAAGAAAGACAAACAAGTAAAAGAAAACTCTCATAAATTCCCTTTCTATAGCAGCCAAATGCATGTGTGTTATGTCACCCTAGAATCTCAATAGTTGCATGTTGCACATCCTCACAAATAAAAAGGCAAAATCTGTCCATTTGCAAAAAGCCATTTCCCTTCTTATACTCTAATTTCTAGGTAGGAATGGGAATGTGATGTTCATTTTCTAGGCAGGAAGCTGCCAAGTGAATACTTTCAAATGTGTTCCCCTACCTCTACTGGGTGTTGCTGCGGGTGCTGTTTGTGAATGAGCTCAGATTATCAGAACACACTTTAGAAAAGCTGACTGATTATAGTGAGTATTTTTAGCAAGAGAAAATGGCACACAGTGCAGAGATATTAAATTATATATATATGTATGTACAACAAAAACAAGTTCAGGAAGCTCTTTCAGATTAATTGCCTTTGAAAAGACATTTATCACTCTCAGGATTGTCAGTTAATAAAAGATATGGTGGCTTTCCCCCTCCCTTGAGACCCTTGACACATCCAGAGTTAATCCCTGCTAGGAAGATGTACTTTAGTAGCCACCCAGCATCTTGGGCTCCAGTGGTAACTGCATGAAAACTTAATGGCCTAATCAGAGTTTATCTCATTTAGAGGCTACACAAGATGACTTGTTCCTGACATCAAAAGTCATGAAAACATTATTATAATATATATTTTATAGATATGAAATAATCTGTGTTTAGCTCTGAGAGGTAAACACATACCTTATTTTTGTCCCCTTGTTAGACATGGAAAATTAGGTGCAGAGATTGAAATTAGCAAGGTTTATAATCCCTGGAGCAGGAGACTCAACTCAAGAGGGGATTCATCTCACCTGTGTTAAACTGTGTTTGGATAGAACAAATTATCCTCCACAAGGTCCAGTCTCTATTAACTAGAGAGGGACAGTGCAGATATTTAATTCAGATCTACCACTGAGGTGGCTAAACAGAGTGCAGATACATCCCACCCCAGGGATTAAAACACTTGTTTTTTGAGTGACAAGCGAGGGCTAAGATCTAGGAATATATGTGCCCCTCACCTTAGAGAGTTTACAGATAAAAAACAGTGTCTGAAGTGCAAGAAATAAGGAAATAGAAAAAGAAAGAAATAAAAGCTGTGTGGAAAAGCTTAAGACTCACAGGACAAGCCTGTATCTACCCAAGGCTTCAGGATGAAGGAAAAGTCTTGTGGGTGTTTTGGGTAACTTATCATTCTGAAATTAGCTATATTTACTTTATTGGTTAAATTAATTAAACAGCACTGGGACCCTGCCACTGGAAAACTTTTATGGTGTTCAATGTTATCATGGTCCCTGCTTATTCCAGGGTGGGGTGCCAAGTCTCTGGCATGGCTTGACCAGTAGCATGACCAGAGATTGCTCCTGATAAATGGTCTGCAAGGGGTCATTCTCTTTTAGGGGTTAAGGACATTTAGCCCCCACTGTGCATGGGGCTGTGCCTGCTGGCCCTGGCCATGTTTAGTTAATCTCTTTCTCTTCTCATTTTATTATTTGACCTCTTCACGATCAGAGCCATGGGGAAGCAGCTATGGTGTGCTGGGCTTGATACAGGGCTAGCCTTACTTTGAAATAATATGGTGCTATCTAATTCCCTTCTGCTGTTCTCTCTAATCTGTAAAGACCTCACAAATCTGATTTTGGCCTGGTTACCCTAATCTGCATCATGGGCTGCCCAATTCACTGACTTCAATGGGCCACACTCGACTGTGTCAGGATTTGGAGCTGATACTTGGTTTTTTTTGAGCTGGGTGAGCAAACAGATCTGCAAGATCTCTTCTTGACAGTGCACTAGCTCTGATCTGAAAGGAGACACAGCTTTAGACATCTGTTTTAAGGACAGAACTATTCTGAGCTTATTTAAACTTGATACAAGGCTCTGTTTATATTTCTTTGATTAATTGAAAATAACCTCTCATTAAGGAAGTGACAACCGATACCATACGATTGTGCTCAAGTCATTCACAGGAGCGAAAAAAATACACCAAAGGTTAGGCAGGTCAAAGCCCTTGTTTGGATCAAAGCATATGTTGAACACTGTATAAATGCCAAATCTGAAAGTGTTTTGTGTTTAAGGTTGAAGTTTGGAGTAAAATGATACTATAACAATAAATCCCTAATTCAGCTTGTTAGGTCGCTACTGCATTCACAAAGGCACAGCAAAGAGAGGGATGCATCTGATGGAGCAGCTGGATAGGAGTCCAAGTCTGTTAAAAATTTACAGTATAGCTGAGGTAATACCACATCCAGTTCTGGTAGGCACATTTGAAAAAGAACTTTAATGCAATGGAAATGGATCTTGAAAGAGTGACAAGCACGGTTTGTGGTTTGTCCATAAATCTGCCTTACCGTGAGAGACTAAAAAAGCTCAGCTATTTTTATTTATTCAGGACAAGGTTACAAGATGACTTGTCTGTGGTTTTGTAAAGTTGAGCTTGCATGGCGAGGCAGCAGCAGGCTCCAGTTTCCACTCAGAACTGCATGGCCTCTCTGCTTTCAACCAAAATATTGGAGTGTCCCCAGCTATGCCTGGGCTTGAAATATTCCTGCTATTCTGGGGGTAAACTGAGGATGGGCTGTACCTTGGTGGGCTGCAGCCTTCTCTGCCCATGCCTGATCTGCAGCTTCCTGGAGAGACTGATGAGTGATGGCCAGGGTTGAGGGTGGAGAATGAGGCCAGACAAATGCAGATCAGAAAGGCAGTCCTTCTTCTTGATGGGGTGATAGCCACTGAAATCACTTATCTGGGGTGGATTGTCCTTCCCTCAAAGCCTCTGATTCAGGGGGGGGATGTGTCCTTGCATGATGTACTGTAATTTGTAATGATTCAGGTGTTGTTTTGGGACAGCATTCTGTGGCTTCATCTGTGCAAGTGATCAGGCCAGGTGATGGAAATTATCAAATGAGTGATCTCACCTGGCCTTAAAACATTCCTATTAGATAGGAATATTTTAAAATTCTTGTTTTAGTGGAAATATGATATACCTATAAAACTGATTGGTAAATGGAAAGGTCTCAGTGAAGCCATCTTTAGCCTAAGAAAGGTCAGTTTTCAGGAAAAAAATGACCACTTTCATATTTGTGGACAGCATGGGTAAGTTTATATTTTCTTTCCAGGAAAATCTGAGCTTAGACCTGGATTCTGACTGTCCCTACAGTTTACTGTATCTGATAGGACATCTTTCAGTAGTATGAGGAGTCATACAGCTTCTTCCAAACAACATTTGACCTTCTGTTCAATCTACAGTGACTTTATTGTGTGGTCATCTCATCCACCTTTCAGCTGTGGTGTTGGAACCAAATCAGGAGAATGAGAGGACACCATAGAAAGTCCTATGGACTCCTGTCAGAAGAGTATATGGCACTGCCTTCTGCAAGCACAGGTGGGATTTGCAGAGAGCCTAAAGTCAGGCTAGCTCTGGGCTGCCTGTGAAGGACACATTTTAGGTGTTAGGTCTAAAGGATGCTTTAAAAACTGCCACCAAGCTGGGCAGCTGTTGTGCCCTTGCACCCAGCATTAGAGAGGTGTTCAGAGGGTTTGCCTTGCTGGAAGGTTAGAGTGAATATTAGGAAAATAATCCAAATAGATTATGAATAATGCTATTAGAAAATCCATCAGATTGGATATCAGGAAATATTTCTTCACTGGAGACTGGTCAGGCACTGGAGCAGGTTGCTCAGGGACACGGTGGAGTCACTATCCTTGGAAGTGTTCCAAAAATGTGTAGGTGTGATAGTCGGGGATATGGTTTAGTGGTGAGCATGTTGTTGTTAGTTGGGCTAAGTGACGTTTGAAGTATTTTACAACTTTAATGATTTTATGACTATATGATTCTGAACTATCCATCCAACTTTATTCGATAAAGGCAGTTTCTTGCATCCGTCCAAGCAAAGGTTTGACTACACACTCAAGTGTGATTTTCTGCTTCTGTGAGTGGTGCCATTGTCACGTCCTGCGGGTGCCTGGGCTGCCACTTGCCCTGTCCCCGAGGTGTGCGGGGCCGTGTGCTCCTCTCCAGGCTGGCCACAGCACCCAGGGACTGTGTGCTCCTCTCCGTGCTGGCCACAGCACCCAGGGACTGTGTGCTCCTCTCCAGGCTGGCCACAGCACCCAGGGACTGTGTGCCCCTCTCCAGGCTGCCCACAGCACCCAGGGACTGTGTGCTCCTCTCCAGGCTGGCCACAGCACCCAGGGGCCGTGTGCTCCTCTCTAGGCTGGCCACAGCACCCAGGGACTGTGTGCTCCTCTCCAGGCTGGCCACAGCACCCAGGAGCCGTGTGCTCCTCTCCAGGCTGGCCACAGCACCCAGGAGCCGTGTGCTCCTCTCCAGGCTGGCCACAGCACCCAGGGACTGTGTGCCCCTCTCCAGGCTGGCCACAGCAGCCAGGGACTGTGTGCTCCTCTCCAGGCTGGCCACAGCAGCCAGGAGCCCCGGCCATCCCCTCTGCTCCGGGAGCATTTGGGAGCGCCTGCCCCGGCAGAGCTGCCTGTGCTCCGGGGAGCAGCTGCCGCTCAGGATGCAGGAGGGACCTCGCCCCTGCCCACTGCCCTCAGGCACACGCTGGAGCATTCGAGAGCTTAGAAAAGCCAGGAAACTGCTGAAAATGCCATTTTGCTCTTAGTGTCTAACATCATCGCGCCGCTCCTGCTCAAACAAATAAACTCTGATGGGAATCCCGCCCCTACCCCCCTTCGTTCCTTGCTTTAATAAAACTTGTCACAGTGATGTTTTCGGGTTTTTTTTTTTTTTTCAGTCAGCAGATTTTTACTCTGGTTAATGAGGAGGAAAAATTTCTCTTCCCCCCCAGCCGCCCCCAATTGCCTCCCCTCTCTTTCATGTCAGGGGCCAAGTTTGGATTGGAGCCTGGTGAAGTTTCTGTGTCATTTCCTGTTGCTGCCCTCCCCGGC